TCAAACAGAACATTATGGGGCACGGAGCCGTGGCAACCATACAGGGAAGTAATTTAATACTCAAATGGAGAAGGGGGTAAAGGGGTACAAGGGGGTACAATTCACAGAGGTTAGGGTTTAGGGCTTTAGCTAGACAGGAAGACGGCTAAGAGAGTCGGGAGGAAAGGGGCAAGGGCAGAAGCCACAGGGGTACAAGGGGGAACAATTTAAGAGGCCAAGACCACACAGGAATAAGGGCTAGAGAGTTAGGGGGACAGGAGCGGCAGAAGGTGTCAGGTTTCATGAACAAGGGTGCAAAAAAAAAAAGATGTGGTGGAGCCAGGTTACAATGGAAAGACGGGTACATATCACTTCAGGGGGAACAGGCAAGGTCCCAGCAATGAATCTGTAAGACCAAGCTCAGGCGGGGAGTCGAAGAGTTGCGGAAGTTCGGACAACAGTTTCCGGATGAGGGTTCAGGGTTTAGGGTTTTAGTCATCTTTTTTTTTTCTTTTTTTTTTTTTTTTAAGGGGGGGAAGGTAAGGTGGGACAGAGGGTATCGTGGCTCATGGGCAGGACGGCTAAGTGGGGGTACAAAGGCTAGCTTGGACAATGGGTGAGCTCTTTCTAGGTGGCAAGGATCTATCTGGCAGATCTGGTTATCAGATCTGAGAGGAATAGAGTGGGGCACAACAAGCTGACAGTCAATCCTCCACCAAGGTGGAGCAATCAATGCTGATCAGGGGTCCTTCGGCCAGACGGAAGGAAGCGTGGGTGGTTCTTATTGTAATGTGTATTCTGACTTGCCGGTTGAATAGGAACCAGACTGTTGTTCCCCAAAATGGAAAGGAGCCAGGACCATAAGGCCCTGTTATTTGGAAAAAAAAAAAAGAAAAAAAGTATCGCCTGTGTAGAGACTGATCGGCAAGGAGTGGGGGCCTAGTCATACTGGCAGGGACACTCTATCATCACTCCAATACGGCACATGACCTCAAGACTAATCACACTAGCGGGGCGTACATTCCCAACCATCATACCGGCAGGGCACGCGTTCTAGAATCATCAAAACGTCAGGGCTCGCGCTAAAAAACGGCTGGAAGTGTGTCGTCGCAACGTACTGGCAAGCCCAAGCAGGGGCGCATACTAAATCAGCGAGTTTGAACTTGGGCGCGCTCTCAACAGTAGTTCCGGGCATGGGCGCGTACTAAATCAGCGACACCAAGAGTCGGCGCGCATGGGCGCGCACTCGAAAAGGCAATACCAAGTATGGGCGTGCATGGGCGCGCACTCAAATATCAACACCGAGCACGGGCGCGCATGGGCACACACTCAAATAGCAATACGAAGCATGTGTGCGTATGGGCGCGCACTCAGATATTAATACCGATCATGGGCGCGCATGGGTGCGCACTCAAATATCAATACCGAGCATGGGCGCGCATGGGCGCACACTCAAATAGCGGTACCAAGCGTGGGCGCGCATGGGCGCACACTCAAATAGCGGTACCGAGCACGGCCGCGCATGGGCGTGCACTCAAATAGTGGTACCGGGCATAGACGCGCACGGGCGCGCACTCAAATATCCTGCCTGAGCCTGGGCGCACGCTCAAATAGCCTGCCCGAGCGTGGGCACACACTCAAATAGCCTGCCCGAGCCTGGGCGCGCACTCAAATA